ACCAACGCGGATTCCAAACCCCCCCCCCCCCACTCCCCCCCCCCCCCCCCCCCCCCCCCCCCACTCTTCCGCGGGAGAAAGAAAGATGGGCGGAGATGCCCAGCCCCCCCCCACCTCCCGCCGCAAGACCTTGTTCTCCTTCTGGTCCGGCGGGTCTCCCAGCCCGAGGGAGGGGGCGCCCGCCGCCGCCGTCGCCCTCTCCGCTTCCACCCGGATGAGCCTCCGGCGGGGCGAGCGGCAGCGTGGCGGGGCGGCCGGGGGGTCTCCGGAGCCCCCTCCGTAAGGATCCTCGAAGTCGCGCTCGCGTTGCAGGCGGTAGGCGGCCAGCAAGTCCGGCTGCTCGGGACCCGCCGCGTAGTCCGGCTGCGGGGGCTCCGGCTTGGCGCTGCGGAAGAGAAGGCGGTCGCGGAGCCAGCGAGCCATCATGCCGGGCCCCCTCCGAAGACCCCCGGGCCCGCTCCGAGCGCAACGGCCCCCGGGTAGGGGGGGGGAGCTCAGCCGGCCGGCTCCACCGCCATCCCCGATGCCCGGCCGGACCGGAGCCCCTCGCCCAGCTACCCACCCACCCACCCAGCCGCCCAGCTCTTGCCCGGCCCGGATGGTCTCTTCCCCCAGGCGCCCAACGCCGCCTTTAAACCCGCATCCTCCGCGTCTCTACCTTCCAGATGCTGCGGGACTACAAAGCCCGGCGGCCCCGGGCGGGCGGCTCTCGGTGAGGGATGATGGGAGCTGTAGTTCGCCACTTTGGAGTAGTCTTCCTTCTCCTCCTCCTCCCCCAGCGCCCAGCCTCAGTTCAAGAGCAGGGCGAAGGGCTGCTTGCAAGACGCGGGACCCTGCCAGATGTTGTACCGGCGTGCAGTTCCATGGGGCGCGGCCATTTGGCAGTGGCTGTTGGGGATGTTTGAGTCCCAAACTGGTGTCCATCGTGCAGGACTGGTTCGGGCTGAGCGACCCCAAGGGCCGGCGAGCCCTAAGATGCAACGCTAGAATACATTCAATGCAGTTTGTTCCCTTNCTCTTTTAGCCATTTTTTAATCCTTTTCCAGTATTTCGTGGCCTCAGTACAGGACCACCAAATATGTATATGTAAATATATGTATATGTAAGATATATGTAAATATTAGGTTATAGGAATTCCAGAAGATCCAATTCGACTTATTGTGTCCTGGCCGTGCTGGAGGATTTCGAGATCTAAGCAAGAAGCAAAGTCACTAGTCCACCTTGTTCATTCACCAGCAATCTTTAATTAATGCCTAACATAGAGGCAAAATCTATAGCAATATATCTTCTTGTATATTCAAAAGAAAGGCCCCAAAAGCAGCAGCTTTAAAATCTACGAAACCTAAAAGACCAAAGTGAAGGTAGGGCTTTCTGTCTAAGCAGGGGGTTGGACTAGAAGACCTCCCAGGTCCCTTCCAACTCTGTTATTCTATTCGATGTACAAAACGCTAAAAGAGGGTTGAGCAGTTTGCAACTCCAGGCTGTGCATGTTGTGTGAACACCAATTCAAGCTACTGGGTGCAAACCCAGCATTAGTTGTTTTAAGGAAGATTTAGCATCTGAGCCCGTGAGTTTATGGGGTGGTGTTTTTTTTTTTGTTAGATAAAAGGCTGCCGTTAATTAATTCGTGTATATAAATGCAGCCCAACTGCGTGTTTCGACTTTTCTAAAACGTAAACAAAATACCTGTTTAATTTGGGGATATATTTTTTTACAGCTTTTTCTTTTTTGTGCCTGTTTAATTGAACTTTTTTATAATTTATTGTAAATAAATTTATAATAAATATAATTGATCTTTATTTCGCTTTCCTGAGCGGCCCTAAAAACCCATCACCCACACATGAATTCCAGCCGATACAACCAAACCAGTGGTGAATTCATTTTTTTTTTTTTACTACCGGTTCTGTGGAATGTGGTGCGGTGTGGTGGGCGTGGCAGGGGAAGGATACTGCAAAATCTCCATTCCCAGCCCACTCTGGGGCCAGCCAGAGGTGGCATTGGCCGAATGGCGGTTCTCCGAACTACTCAAAATTTCTGCTACCGGTTCTCCAGAACCTCTCAGAACCCCTGGTTCAGTCCCCAGAACCTCCTAATTAGAATGGCCATAACTGAGGAAGCCTAGACTCTGAAAGGGAACAGCGAAGTTCCACATATCATTGGTGGGCGTGGAGTGGGTGGTGAGCATGGCTTGGTGGGTATGGCAGGGGAAGGATACTGCAAAATTCCCCATTCTCACCCCACTCTGGGGCCAGCCAGAGGTGGCATTGGCCGAATGGCGGTTCTCCGAACTACTCAAAATTTCTGCTACCGGTTCTCCAGAACCTCTCAGAACCCCTGGTTCAGTCCCCAGAACCTCCTAATTAGAATGGCCATAACTGAGGAAGCCTAGACTCTGAAAGGGAACAGCGAAGTTCCACATATCATTGGTGGGCGTGGAGTGGGTGGTGAGCATGGCTTGGTGGGTATGGCAGGGGAAGGATACTGCAAAAATTCCCCATTCT